CCCCAAAACCCCAAAACCCCAAAACCCCAAAACCCCAAATTTATTTAGTTTTATAAATAAAATGAAAGGCACTGATTTTCTAAAATACCAGATGCTTAGCCAGAACTTTAATGGGCCTGAGAATACTTCTCTGATCATTGGCCCAATAAAGACCAAGAGAAATGACCAGAACAAATCAGTTGTGTACGCAAAACATATGAAATTACTCAGTCCTCAGAATAGGCTTCCGAAGAAGGACAATAATTTTTCAACGAATAAGGTAAATTTCAAAACTCCTATGAAACCCATGGGCCAACAACATCTCGGGAGATATGATTTAAACCAGACAAGTGGAAAAGTCAATCAGGTTTTAGCAAAATCGTTACTTAATAAGAGCAATGTCAACAGAGCTATTGCCAGAGATCTCTCAGGACCACTGAAGTTGGAGAACATGAAGGCTGTCAAAAAGCCAAATAAATTTTATCTTGAAAACCCTAACCATATGCTTAAAAATGGCAGTTCTATAGTAGAAGGCAATAATAAATTTACTAATGAGGACTACCTAAAGTCTGTACAGCAGAAACACTTTGAGAAGGATAGTTTAAAGAATATAAATCCATCCCAAAGAGACATAGTTAGTGAAATAGATTATTCTGATGCTAAATCTGCTCGCTCAGCTATTCTGAGCAAGAACAGGAAGAATATCAGGACTCCTGCCATGAGTCAACTGACCAATGATAATTTAGCCAAATTTGAGAAGGAACTTTCAAGCAAAAGTGTAATTAAATAAAGGAGGTGGGGGCAGTGTCTACTCAGATATAAGATCTCAGCTTTCCAAGTATAAGAATAAAATTAAAGAGATGTCCAATAAAAGCTGAGAGCAAGAGAAAAATAATAAAGACCTCCAGAAAACTAGTCAAATAGAGGAAATTCCTGAAGAGCCAGAGAAACCTGAAGAGCAGGAATTAGAGCAAGATCAACAATTACAGAGTGATGTGAATGAGTCTCAAAAATGATCCAACTGTAGATCAGAACTAAAACAGACAGAAATTGATTTTCACAACCAAGTTATAAATTCAGATAATCAAGATCCTGACCAAAATGGTAATATTGAGGTCCCAATTCTGTGAGCTAAATGAATATACTCTTCATATTTTCCAAAACAAGTGTCTTCTCACGCTGAGGTGCCAGCCCCAAGGTTCCCTCAAAAGGTCTTAAATGGTAAACTTAGCTACTAAAGTTTAGAATCCCAAACCTTGAAAGATACAAAGGATCAAAATGATAGAATTCTAAACTGGAGATCTGAAAGAGATAACTTAAATAAGACAGATATTTACAAAAGCTCACCTGCCTGGACGAACTTACCTACGTTAAGGAATAATAAGAATATTGGTAACGAAATGAACAACTGAATGATACCCAAAATAGTAAGTCTGAATGATGGCATCACTCCCAAGAGCGAATGAGGATATCAAGGTAATAATGCAATTAAAGAAATGCTGAGAAAGAAACTTTATGAGAACAACGGTAAGGCTTACCAATAAATACTATAGAAGAAATGGATGAGGACTACAAACCTGACTTCTATACTACTACTGCTCAAGCAGAGCACACATGGCAACCTATTGATGATTCCCATCTTGACTCAAGATTTAGGAAAAAGAAGAATGAGTTCTCCATATTTGTAGATGCATCTTTTAAGAAGGGTGTATTTGCTATGCCATTAATAGATCCTCCAAGAACCACAGATGATAATGCAAGTATTACAGATGTCAGAAAGAACTTCATCTGCTAATTGTGAAAAATACCAGAAAAATAATGAAATACGTTCAAACCAGGTATACCCTAAAGGGGTTTTGGGGTTTTGGGGTTTTGGGGTTTTGGGGTTTTGGGG